GGGGCGGGGCGGGGCCGCGGTGGGCGCGGTGCTCCGCGGGGTGCGGTGAGGGTGCGCACCTGTGAAGAGCACGGTGGCGGCGCGCAGCAGGTTGAGGGCCGCGTTCCTGCGCGCCTCGGGCACACGGTGCCGCAGCCCGCTCCACAGCGTCATGGGCACCACGTACAGCTGCAGCCCATACGACAGCAGCACGCCCAGCGGGATGATCACCTTCACCGCCTGCGCCGCGCTGCGACCAAACACAAAATAATGGCGATGCGTAAAACCGGGAAAAATTGAAAAATTCGCCAACAAAAAAGATTTCCAGTACAATAAACTCATGTATGCACGATTTTAAAAATTCCAGCGTGTTCACGCCCCTGTTTAAAATATTTCATTACATTTTCATTACATCTAATGAAAATAGCTTCATTACATCTTTTTTTAACGTGTTGTGAAGTTTCATTAGACTGTAGGGAAATTTCAAGACGCACAATACCCAGGCTAAAATAACCATTACACGGAAAAAATCAAAGATCAAAGATAAGTTGTATGAAGTGATGATTTGCCGGCATCAGTAAGGTAGACCTCGACTGATTTAGGTAAGGGATACGCTCTTACAGCTAATTTTTGACTGGCACAGCCAATGATTGATTAGAGTAGACAATATAGTGGTTACAGAAGTTTATGTGCTTGTCTATCCAAATACCACTCAATATATTAGCTGACTCAGCGAATCTTTTTTTTTCCGTGTTGGGAAGGCCATGGTAAAATATAAATTATGGTGATGCATGGTAGTCCACGGTCTCTCATGGTTTAATGTTGATTAACCATAGTATTATGGTCATGGTAATCCATGGTAACCATGAGACACCAAGGTTAAAGGTTGGAAAAACTATGGTTGAGAAACCGGAAACCATAATCTATCGTCAAGTTACCATGATATTATGGCTCCTAGTGCAACAAGATAACCATGGTGACCCATGGTTATTTTAGCCTGGGTATGAAAACGTTATCAAATTGCATTACAAAAATAATATGTTATGAAGCCATTTATTTTCGTTAGATGTAACGAAAGAGAAATTAAATATTTTTAACAGTGTGGTTAAAAATGTGTCCAAAGTGAGTTTGTAAAAATAAATATTCTGCTGTCTCTCCGTTTCACTCACGGTTCCGAGATGGGCAGGTTGAGGATGATGTTCTCGCGGGTCGCCTCCCCGAAGGTGAGGAAGCCGGCGGCGCCGATGAAGATGTAGCAGAAGGCGATGATGGACATGGACCAGATGAGCACGTTGGGCCCGGCCACCAGGTTCTTAGGGTTCCGCATCGTGTTCTCCACCGGTAGGATCTAAGTCAGGCAAACGAAACGTGTCGTTTCAAAAATGTTCTCTACTCACTCACTCAAGTAACTTTGTACTTGTTAAGGACGCATGGTTCTCAAGCAAAACGTGCAATTTGCTGGAGTGAATCGACAACATTGGAAAATTGCGAGAACGTGTTTCTCCGGGTGTTTGAGTGATCACACAAACACGCAAAAGCAAACTTGGATTATTATTTTTTTAGTTTTGAAATAAGCGCTGGAAAGGGAGTAAGAGACAGGAGAGGAGACCTCAACTGCGGGCGACATTTAGAGTGTCGCACCGCGGCCTGGCCGGGCTGGGCCGGGCACGAGGAGCTGGGATTTCATTTTAATTAAAGAGGATGAGTGGGAAAAGAGACGGTGGAGAGCCGTGTCGGCAAGCATCTCCACCGCCAACGCTGATTGGAGGTGGCGAGGCGGGGTTGGTTAAGAGGAGCGGGGGC